GGTGTTCACTGCTAGGTGTTTTGATAGCAGTAACTATTGAGAAATCTAGAGATATTACAGAACACGACCCCGTGGTTTATATAGGGCCTAGGATGATGCTTGTACAGTACGAGCAACCTGGTTTCCTGCTCGGCCATTCCTAGTAGGGCTCTTTATACATTGCAAACCATGTGGGTAACGGTTCCAAAACAAATAGTAGTACAAATTCCTAGCGCATGCTTATTGTTAATGGTGTAAAAAATCGCTGGAAAATTATCCGGCTTCAATATTGACGTGCACAGTTCCTTGCACTGCACTTGCGGGTTAAGCGTAATTACAAACGTGCTCAAAGATTAGTGTGGGGGGTGCTTCGTCAGAATCGCAATATGCGGAAGAAGTAAATAGTTGCGCACCCAGGACAAATCGTGCTAAGTTGTTGCCAGTTGAGCGCAGGAAACTTTTAACTATGAAATATCTAACTTCGATGGCGGCTACAGCTGTACTGTGTTTGAGTCACACGAAACCGGTTATAGTTAAACATAGGCCCATGTTGTGCCGGTTACAAACGGCAACTCCATAGTTCTTTCTCCATCGGCTTCTATTTGTATTGAGCCCGCTCTTCGCCAATAATAGTTCGTCCATTATACCGATTGCCCAATAGCTCTTCGATATGTACGGTGCTTCGACTGGCTGTATTCCGTATAAAACTATCTTATCAGCTGTACTGATTACTTTACGGTTATACATAATGAACCTCCGCTGCATTGCTATGATGCTTAGCATGGTTGAGGGTTAATGGTGACTGGGTACAGCAGTAGCCATGGCACGTAGAGTTAGTCCCGCAATAACGTCAATATGGCTCCAAAAGATCTGTTTCAATAGTGAACCTTATAGTTATAGATTTCTACCTCCGGACCTGCACATTAACCTAGAGAAAAAAACTAATAGGGTTACGCTTTATTTGTGGGTAGAAAATCCGAAAATAAACAGAGGATAAACCTAGCTTTCATGGAGAGGATCCGTGCGTGTGATATCCAATGTAAACTTTACACGAAGATGTATCCAAGTATGCTAGTTGCAAGATTAGCATTAAGCGGTCAAGCTCAAACAGCGTCTTACTACCATAGTTATTATATACTCGTGTACTTACCAAGAAAAAAAATGTTACCGCGGCTTTGGGAAGCACACTGACGAGATTCTTGTGTTCCGTAGAACTACTTCCAGCAGCGTAACAATTTATAGCCATGAATTCAAAATGTATTCTAACTTGAAACGATCTGAAAAATAGCCCAACACTATGTTGCTTTTGTACAGGACCTTTTGCGGCTGCTTTTACAAAAGCGCGATTCTGGTACTCGTTACTAACACAGGTGTTAATCAATGATCAGTGAGGATGATCATAGTATTTGCTATAGATCTTTACTAACCACCGAATTATACAATACCATGGAATATCAAATCCCTATGCATTCTGTATACCAAAATTGCGATTAAAGCTTTTGTCAGAATCTTTGCACAGTGTAGCAATGCTTGAAAGTTGCTATCATTTGGAACACGACAGCAACGAGAATAGCAACACAGAAAAAAAAAAAAAAAAAAAGCAAATAAACGCTTAGTCGTTACATTGCGAGTAATATCAGCTTACAATACTTGCAAGAGAGAGATTGAACAATATACGACCCAGATTTATTTGCTATTCTTGGTAAGCCCCATATTTGATAAGCTCAGTTGGAGGTAACTCTTTTGAATGATATCTTTACTCATGTCTATGAAATCGTTCTATGCGAAAGTGAAACGCCATTAACCTTGCACCAAGTGTACACAACAGGATGTGTACAAGATTTTTGAATTTTTTTACCTTTTACATCAAATGGCTACCGGAATAAGATATGCAATACACACATACGACGCCGATGCTTCTTACACTCATTTCTTAAAGAGCGCATTTACTACCGATTGATAGCCTCTTGGTTATGCTGACTATCGTGTTATTCAATCAACATTATCTAATAATTATACTACTGGAGTGTGTCGGATCTAAATATTTAAGCGTATTTAAAAGCATAGTCGATGTTTCATGCTGTAAAACAATGAAAAATATCGAAGTAGCCCTCGCAACGCTTTCGGCGATTGGTGCCGTGATTGCCTCAGCCTTAACAAAAAAATAAAACCAAGAATCCATTTCAAAGCCCTGTTGGGCAACTGCAAGCCAGCTTGAATTCATTCGCACCAGCTGTTAAGTTGTCAGTTTAAGTCAACCCCCGGTATGAAAGGGTGCCCGTATACGTCCGATCAACAATCTCTTTGTGAAACCAAAACCGACGTTTGCAAAAAGTCGTAGCTTCTTGCTGCGCTGACTGTTCCCGGGTGGAATTGTTAGATCAGGTGGCCCTCTACGTCCGCTGCGATTGGAAGGCGACCCAAAAAAGGAAATGATAAATGAACGAACCTGGGCGAGGCTTTCGCATCGTACTGCATACGCCCTACTAGGAAAAAAGGGAGAAGACGGACAGTTGACGATACATGTGAAGATGTCCCGATACTAGCGCCAGCCACTAACACTATTCCTACTCGGCTATGTGGCCTAGGTCGCCTTGTAGTAGGAGTATTAATGGGACATATGAGAGACTGATTGGCCGAAACACTTGGCCCTGACTGCGCTCTCGTCCTCGACCGACCATCCGCCTGGCCGCTCGTTCACCCATTTGAGAATCCATTAATCATGAGGACGCACGAGGCGGAGAACCCCACCATCCCAGAAGAAACTAATGGGATCGTCATGTCTGACACCCCATTATCACGCCTCCAGCCGCACGACAGTCAACACTGGCAAGGAAGTACAACCTCGCACAGACGCACACACATAAAGGACGGGTATATCCATTAATCACAAAGAGTGTGTGCCGCTAGTGACCGCGTTTGTGGATCGAGGCAGTTAGAAGCAAGCACGTGTTGCTTGTTTGTTTGTTTTCAAAATGTTTATCTTCTCTGCCCTTCCGAACGGTTATGATTGTTTGTCCGCATCGTGCAACAATATAGGTCGCTGATTTTCAGCTTATGGAAAAAATAGATATTACATATTTAAAAGCATGTGGTAAACCGTCGAGGGCGAATATGTTCTCAAAGCATGTACGCGAATAACGTAGCAAGATACCTGTTCACTACAGTGGAGGCGGGTTCACGAATCTTGTTATCTTCTTAGATTGATTATATGTATATATTAGAGCGAACGTGCGAGCACGTTCAAATGTCGACACGCGCTAGAGAGTCTTTTCTCCGACAATATGCTACACGCTCGTCTCGAAAATGCCTACTTCGCTTTTACAATTACATGATCCGCAACTATGATGTATAACAGATCGACTTGCTCAAGAGTTAGTTTCTTTCTGAGTTATAGCCAAGCCTTAGCTAGCTGACAGTGATCCAGTGGTGGGACAAGTTGCTGTTGCTGTCGTCAAATCCTTTCAGCATAGCCAATTTTCCCCGTTAGAGACGTTACCGTACAGCAATCAATGTAGAATTATCATATATTTCCTGTCAGTGTTTAGCTCACGTGTCCGGACTACCACGCTTGACACGTCGGAGCTCCATGCTGTTTTCATAACGGCTAGATTTATAGCCGTCGAATACAGGTCGGAATAAAACTTGAAATAATATACAAAAAAAAATATGCAATAGGCAGTGGAACTATTTTTATGCCCACTGTACGTTTTCGCAATGCTCGCTCTAAGATTGTTCTCTCTCAGTTTACTGAAAACTATTTATCTCAAGGCGGTGCTAATATGAAGTTCACCTGGCACCTTTTCAGATGGTTGCTGCGTGAGTGTGATACCATGCTTCTGTACAACTTTCTGACCAAGGTGCTTCCGTTGACCACACTTCTATGGAAGTTCATGCGAATACTTCAAGCGAAGGCTGCAGAAGTAACTTGTTAGTAATATGTGAATGAGTAAGGACATTAGTTCGAGGTAAGTAATAGGGAGCTTGGTTAAACTCATTGGATTCAACCCGAAATCGCGTGAAGTTAGCTTCCAGCTCCAGTCGATGAACGAGAAAATACACTTAATTTCGCTTTAATAACCTGTAGTTAAGTATTCAATAGGTTGCCAGCTCAGCTTAGCAAGCTCGTAGGTAAATGCGAGGAAGATATTCTTCTAAATGTGGAAATTAATTCACTTTTTTTTGCATCGAAAGATATGCAATTGAACACGAAGAAACTGAACACGGCGACGATGTTACTAGTCCGTTTGAAGTATTGCAGCTCCTTCTGATGCAGATTCAAAGCTAGGGAAATTGTTTACTGCGCCCTCAGAGGTGCTCGAAACGGTTGGCGTACGTCGATCGTGCATTTCAAGATCAGCTATTCTTGAAAAATAGCCGCACAAATATGGACAGAATGATAAGTTAATTTCTGGGTGTCAATTGTGCTGTCGTCTACACGAAAGGTGAACATTGATAGACACGTTCAATGGACTAGCTTTTTATGGGCAGGGCAATTGTGTATTGTGGGACTGTTCACTTTGAAATTCACCGTATACGTTAGCTGACTTTGACAAATACAATATAAGGTTTCCTAATTATATTTCAAGAAACGTATTCATCGAAACGTACGGCTTGACCTAAGGTCTGGTGGTCTCACTTACAGCGAACAATTATCGAACCTCTGGAGCGTGCCGAGGTCATAGCCCTTGCCCCTGTCTCGCTGTCCGGTCAGATTTTTCTTAAATTGTGGTAACGTTGTTAAGTATTCTGATTTGTGTTTGGTTAGTCTTGGGGTCGGGCTGACTGTGACACTAAAATGTTCATGTAGAGATCTGCAGGGCACTTAAAAAAGGCACCAAATGCATTACTCATCACGCATTTGATCTAAGCTCTCGTATAGGTATCGCCACTTCCTTTGAAAAGATAGTGAACTTATCGTATCGTTATGATTACCACTGTCCCATACTCAGCACACCCTTTCCCACATAATAAAGATAGTAATAATAATAAACAGCGTATCGAATGCGAAAATAACGAACCTGGGAGGCGCTAGCGAGCTCTTCCATCGTGAACGTCGTGACTTTGGCTCATGTGCCGTGCTGCCGCGCGCCGAACCTGTCGGCGCGCTAATGATGCCTCTGCTAACTCGTTTAAGCTCGAACCTCCACAGCTGCCTGGCTGTCCGCTGCGTGTTCAAAGATCGACGCTGCTTGTTTGTACAAAGTGACTTCAGACAGTAAGCGAGTGTCACTGCACTTTATTCTTTCCTTGCCAGTATGATCCTACAGCCTTTAACCTTCAAAATTGTGGGGTAGCAGCACAACCAGCTAATATGGAAGATGTACCGTGCATATATACCTATCTAACACTCACACTGAATGGTGTAATAGCTTTAATCCAGAGGGGTTATGGGCAAGTGCACAAACCCGGATGAAAACAGCTCGTCTAACGTTCTAGCTAACACCCTTCCGCTGCTTCATGTACTCAGATATTAGATCAACTCATACCACGGCGAACAATGATTTCGTTTGCTACGACTGTAACATACTCGGATGTATTTTTCCACGTTATTATTGCCACATTTTCGTCGTCATCGCGACTCTCAAGGCAGCAGCAGCACCTCCCTTTTGTGAGGAACAGCGCACACACAGACACACCGACACACTCATATATATACATACACATATATATATATATATATATATATATATATATATATTATATGTGCCTCACACCACCTTGTTTCTGTTGTAATTGTCGCCAATTATCGTTTTATTACCGAATCACTGTCGGACCGCGTACCCCTCTGGTCACTCAACGAACTTAAGAGGTGGAATTGCCGTTGATACTTCGCTGCGGTGAACACTAGTGAGCAAACATCAGTAGGTGCTGTAGTTGATGTCCACGCACCGTATTTGCATGTAAATGGCGAATGGCGTCTAGCGCGGCGTTGCACGCCTCGAGCGCATTTTTCTTCTTCCAGAAGAAACTAACCGGCCTTCGTGTTGGCCTTCAGGACATGTAAAGCTACAATTGATAGCAGTAAAAAGCAATAATGGCAAACGTAATTGCGGTTTTAGTAGTAATAATGGTTGTAGTTGCAACTGAAGTGGTAGGCGCTACAGGGGCAGCGCGATGGCAGCAACACCAGCGCCAGCAGAGCTTGCCTTCGTTTGTTTTCGGCCGTTTTGGTGGTGGTGCCTGATCCGGCAGCTGCCTGGGATCCTGTAATAGTCCCCTGCACGTCGATGCTCTCGCTCTGTTCCGTACAGCAGGAGAGGCAGAGGCTCGAAGAGGCTGACACAGGCTGCTGCTGTAGGGCGGAGAGCAGCGTCGCTTGGGCTGGGTTGGGTAGTCGCAGCAGCCAAGAACAGCACCGTGGTCGGTTGTCCTAGATGAATGTACATCCATACACTCACAACAGAAGCACACTCAGGCACATGCACACACACACGGAGACACAGACAAACACAGTCGTCGGTTGTGGCAGTAGGAGCGCCGGCTCTGGGCATCTACGAGGGGTCCATCTATAGCTGCTCTATAGCGGAGCAGAACAGAGAACACGAACAGCGGTGGGCCGACTGGCTGTCTGTCTGTTTGGGCTCCCTAGCCGCTGCCGGCTGCTGCTGCTGCTGCTGCTGCTGCAGTGTTCCCGCTCGCTCCCTGCTCGCATATATCATAAATTGCTCCCTCAGTTGAGATCCTCTCGCTCGCACACACATACACATCACCGCCATCTCGTCCCATCCCCTAACCCCTAACTCTCCCCCTGTCACTCCGAACCCCAAATATCCCCATGCCGTTACCCTAGCTTGCTCGTATCCCCACACAAGTCTCATTCCCCTCTAGCAGCTCGCCGCTATTCCACTTCGTAGTTTCATCTGGCCTGGGCTAGCCAAACCATCTTCATACTCAGCAGCACACTACCCACAATGATTCTGTCCCTTCAACTTCAACACATGCCCGTTCTCTCTCTCTCCCTCTCTTCCAATTTTCTCCCTTCGAAGCTCCATCGGGTAGCGGCCACATACAACCACAGTGAGAGAAAGAAAGTGAAGAGAAGCAGTACTAGCTAGCTAGCTGGACGAACTGCTGACTCCCGCCATAGAAACATACGGACACAGACGAAGCAATGGGAGAGACCCTGCCATCATTCGTCGGTCGTGCTTTCGGGTGAGCCACAATTTGGTTTACCTGAAGCTCATACGAACGGTATGTACTGGATGCTACAATAAGCGAGCTAGTTACAATGAACTGTGTCGATATAGCAAATTTGACAATACATTCATCTGCCAGTAGAGTCGATTTGATAGTGGCTAGTAAATCAGGCAACAACAAATATGGAGAGTTGCCCTTCGTTGGTTGAGGAGTGGGTGCGTTCTCCCATCCGCTATAGACCATCGTCCTTTAAGCGTCCAACTTTGACTTAGATGAAGCATGAGGCCCTTCGAGGATATATGCCGTAAGGGACATTACTGAGCAGAACACACGCTCAGAGAGCAACCACATGGACACCAAACTGGCATTTTCGCGCTCTCCTACGCCAATAGTAGGCACCCTCAAGCAAAGTACAGCGATCTACAGAACCCGAACTACTACTTCAGTCGCCACGAGCAGAAAGCAGCTTCACTTTCTGCGCAGTAATCGGAGAAAACGTTAGAACAGCATACGCAGTCAACCGAAACAACTTTAGCATTAAACATCCCGCATTCTAGGAGTATACTTATTATTTACTTGAAAAATTTATACTATGAACTATACCGACCGGCATATGATATAGTTGGCTGCATAAGTGTTCACATGGAAATTGAAATATCATTGTTTTTTTCTTAATGCTTTTAGAGCTACGTCTATTCGAAGTCAATTTTTGAACCATTAATTGAATGAATGAAATGTGATAATAGTTACTTGAGTAGCTAGCAAATGAGGCATCCGCAGCCAGAAAGAATAGCTCCGTAATAATGCAGAAGTTAGCAGAGGAGCGAAAAAACTGAGGCTGCTTGCAGATGGCGTACCTGAATGGCTTTATCGCTGTAGATCGAAATCTATAGCAATAGCATGGGAGAAGCATGAAGGAAGGTATAAGATTAAAGAAATAGGATTCCGAAGGCACCGGAACTCTGCCTTTTTAACCTGTACCACCACGAATTGCTAAATCATCTTGAAGGCCATAAGCGCGTAATTGTTGTTTTCAGGACGTTCCAGGCTCTAAATTGGCGCATATTTTACTAAGTAGAGTATGACGATAGAAAGTAATCTGGTATTTATAATTCGTGTTCTCAGAGGCTTTTTAGAATCTTTGCACTCTAGGAAAAGTAAATTCATAACAGACTTGAAGCAAGAGGCTTGCATCCTGCAAAATCGTGTACAAACTCTTCGCTTATGCCAACGACCTAGTCGTACTGGTACAAACTCGCTACGTGCAAACACTATAAGCTAAGGCAAGTAATACTTTGGAAATTGCCCCTAGTATCATACAGCAAAGTCAGTTAATTCCGATCCTCCAAAACGCTCTGCAGAACATTGCGCGTAAGGCTTGACAAGCAGTGAGCCAACTCTGACTCATTTTGAAGCGACCACAAGGCTCCCATGTGGACTATACAGTCATCAAAGTATTCGTATTACATATGATAATTAGTAAGTAAGAAACTTTTCACGAATATGTTATACGATGGAAGCGATCGTTCCCATCAAGATGAATGGGAAACAAATGCTCTTTTGTATTCTACGAACGGTTTTACTATATCGACTGGCCTTACAACAGGCATCTCTGCATATAGTATAGTAGGGCTGCATAAGATACAAATTTTTGTTCTATTTGGTGCATATCTAGTGTTCATGCTTTAGTTACAGATCATTGAGAAGGGGACAAACTGCAGTGCAATGCGACCAGTAACGTAAATTTCATGTGCAACATATGCTTCTCTATCGGTATATCTAGAGAGCACAATATAAAAGAGTGCAGGCCACTGACGAAGGTAAGTGAAATAAATTAACAAAACATACAAACCATTTTAGAAGAGAAACGTTGGAAAGATCTTATTTGTCCGGTGTATTACTGCAAACTACTACTAACTGGAACTTTTAGTTAAGTACACTTAGATTAGACGAAGTATAGGACAAAAACAAATGTAGACTTGGATGTTCTAAACTTCCAGAGTTTATAGTTGAGACACAAGTAGGACACAGATAGAAACCTTATTCACCAACGGCACCAAAATAAAATAATTACATGAAATATTGAAAAATAAGCTGCAGTATTACACGAAAGTAACATTGATGTTACTAATGTTGGAAAAGAGGTACAATAGTGTAGGTAACGGTGATAAAACAAAGATATAGGTCTTAGTTCATTCCTAAAATGTTGAAATTTGTATGGCTTCCACTGTAAAATAGTGCATTACGTGTCCACCAATATCGTACCCTTAATTAATTAATTACTTAACATAATGTCCTGCTGCTCTTCATTTAGTTGCCTTAACTTATGCAATCAATTTAACTGCTATAAACTATTTGTTATATTTACTGCTATGGTACAAAGCTAAGTCATAACATAGCTTATGTAGTATAAAAGAACACCTCATTATTCTTTAAACTATTTGTCGCATAAGCGGCATATAATAATTTATTTAGGCTACTTATAGAATCAAAAGAATTACTGAACAAGCAACAGTGGTCTAAATCAATATAGGTAATACTTGATTTTTCGTAACTTTCGTCACTGGCAAATACTACAGGCATAGAAAAAACCTATGCAAGATAAATGCGAAATAAATGCTCTGTTGCTTTCTAAAAGCGCATGAAAAAAACTGAGCTAAAAGCGTTGTTGTCAGATATTTCTTAGTACATCTGAGCGAGGAGCAGTGCTCAGTATACTTGAATTATGTGGACGTATATGCATCTGATAAAGCTCGAAATTACAGATACTTTGAAATATCATTTATGTGACTGGAATAAAGTTCAATGATAAAACAACTGTTACTGAACTTTACACATGTATATGCTTATGAGGGACCGCAAATCTGATGCATATCATATGAAAAATTTCAGAAATTGACTAAGTTATTCTACCGTTAAAACTACGTACTTTAAAGGCCTGGTGCTCAAGAGTGACCTAGATTATCGTCCAATAAAGCGAAAGCTTTAGATAACCGGTGATATTGAAAACGCAAATCTATTCTGTGGTTCATTCATCACTAAACTTACCGACACTTCTTATATCTCTATTCCTATGCACAGTTAAAATAACCATACCTTAAAAGGTTATTATTCTTATAGTTAAAGTACATTTTCGATAGAGTGAAGTTCGATGGTGATGTGATAACGTTTAAATAAACTAACTTGTAAAAAAATTGAAACGATCAAATTGATGGGTCCTGCTAGGTTTGATGTTAAAACAATTTTTAGAAAAGAGACTAGTTTAATATTAGGTACACTTAAGAAAAAAAACCCTTATCCCTTCATGTTTGATTATTATTTTTCCTGCATCTACTGCATACAGGAAAATACGAAGAGCAGCGACGGCCCCAAATAAACGCTTCGAATCTAATACCGCCATCAAACATTGCTTCCTACGCCTAGCTCTTAGCATTGAAACAGGTTTGTCAAGTTCTGGTTTCCCAAAAAACCTTTTCCATAGCTGTATCGCAGCTATCCCAGCTGAGATACTACTACAGGCCTCAGTGCCGCTTTTTAGAGAATTGTTTCAAAGATTCATTAGGATAGAGAGGGCTCAACACGAGTAATCTGAATGAATCTCCAAGCAAGAGACTACTATATTTATCATTTTGTTACTATTCAGATTTTTACTGGGGAGTTGAAACGTGTGTAACACCCCCCCCCCCCTGATTTAGATCTATGTTGCCTCTATATCTCTTTGATTAATAAACGCATAAAATAAACGCATTACCACTATACCAGCATGAAGATTAACGACAGTGTCAAACGTTCTTTTGGCCTCTTATGCTGAACACGGCCTTATGTACAGCAATAAGCCCTAATCTGGTGCACTATATTTCTAATTTCCTTGTAAATCACTCTTTTATAGTCATGCATAAAGGCAATTTTATGCTAAATGTATGTATTGCTACTGCAGGCCGTGAACAAAAAGCACTCTACAGCAGCCTGATCTTCATGTTTTTGAGATACAAATAAAATATGTGATAATCCCATCAATTGAGCTATACACCTTTACCCACGATATCAAGGCGAAGTTGAACCTAAATGATGTGGGTGATTGCGGCACTCTTTGGAAAACATTCAATAAGTTCTGCTATTAACGATTCTATTCTATCCACGAACACGTCTCCTCCTTTTCAAATAAGGCCTCAAAAAAGCCTCTATACATACCAAAAATAACTTGATTTAATAGATTTGTTATAAAGAAGCTTAGAATGTTGTAGGTTGGTCCATACATTGCAAAAAAAAGTGCATATCGGTTTTAAAAGTTGTATTACAGAATTCTCTGTT